ACGTAAAAATCTATCATTTATTCGGCACTATTTTGAAAAAGAAGTAAATGGTGAAGTTGAGGAATTTTGGGTATACAACGTCATGAATGAAAAAAGTGGCCAAAAATGTGGTCAAAAATACAAAAATATAGGAAGTTTAACAGGAAATCTAATTATACACCTTAGAGATAGTCACAGGATTGTTTTACAGAATAATATAAAAACTTTAAAAAAGATATTAGTTAAAAAATTAAATACATAAGGCCATACAAACTTAACAAATTGGTTCTTACAACCTGGCAGTCAAATTTTGCAAAATTTTGAAAAAAATTTTGGAAAATTTTTAAAAAGCTAGGTTGCTGGTCATTTTTAAAATTTTATGTTATTAGAATCAAGAAATTAACTCTGTATGGCCTAATTAATAAAAATTTTAAAAAAATAATTTTTTGTTAGCCACAAGATTCTAAAATTACCGAATTTGTATAGAAAGTTAAACCTCATCCTCATCATATTCAAAAGAGATGTGAAGAAGCACTTCTCAAATAAATATTGCATTCAAACTAGCCTCTTTCTACAGTTACTAATGAGATATATAAAGAAAAAATGTCTGAATTTGATTCTTTCTTTATTATTCTGGGAGAAAAAAAAATTAGAACTATGATTGCCAAAAGTTACAAGTATAACCAGGAAAATTTACAAAACCTTCTAACCCAAAATATAGAAAACATTTCACTTACAGCAGATTTTTGGTCCAGTAAAGCTAGGCATGGTTATCTAGGAATTACCGCTACTTGGATTACTCCAACTTTTGAAATTAAGAATATAATATTAGAAAATAAGTATATTCCCTCACTACACTCTAGTAGAACTATTTCTGAAGAACTTTACAAGTGCATTGAAACCTGGAATCTTGAGGATCATATAATATCAATCACCACTAACAATAGACATAATAAGGTTTCAGCTTTTCCCTTATTAATTAAAAAAAAAAAAATATAAAAAGATCAAGCACCTTTTATATTCAGCTCTTACTCTTTAGTTGGCAATTGGAAATAGACTAGCACCAGCAGAGATTTTAGTTGCATGTACAAAAAGGCTAATTCAGTTCTTTCAATATCAAAAACAGATAGAACGATTAGAGAAGGTGCAAAAAAAAACTTGGTTATTCAGATGTTTTGCATTGTATTCAATATATACCCACACATTAGAACTCCCTGTATTATTCTTGGAATCATTTTTTTTTTTAAAAAATGCTATAATTTAGCTACAGATGGATCTATATACTTCACAAGATCGGGAAATAAAAAAAGATAGAAAAAAATTAAAAGAAATGCTTCTCTCAGATAATGAATAGAAACTATTGGACCAACTTATTGACTTGTTGATACCATTTAAGAAGGCTATACAAGAATTTTCATGAAATATGTATGTAACATTAAGCAAGGTTATTCCAACCATTAAGGAAATGATTTTTGATTTGGCATGTGAAACTCCTCTAAATAATGATCTGTTTTTGAACGAGGATACCATATTCGAATCAGATAATAAAGATATGTAGCCTATTGATTTTAATGATGACGATATTATAAGTAATGTTACAAAAAAAAAATTTTAATTAAAACCCATTAGATACGACAGGAATTTTAGAACAAATTAAAAAAAATATTTATGATGCACTTATCTATTATTGAAATAACCCAAATGATCTTGGTTTAACATTCTATACAAATTCGGTAATTTTAGAATCTTGTGGCTAACAAAAA